AACGCAAGCGCAAGATGCGAGGGATCCACACATAGGAGAGCTATTGGCGTCAGGTCTGACGGGGCACTGGCTTCACGTCCCCTTGATCACGAGACTCTACAGTCTGAGTCCTACCTTCACCACGCATTCCTGAGCTTCCTGAGTGGAGAAAACCAATGCCAGGCTTGCCGATCTGAGGTGCCGAAGGCGTAGCCCACCCCCCTCCCCCCAACAGCACTACCAGGTGGCTCCTTCATCGTGCAATTCGCCCTCGTCGTGTATGGGTTTCTATTGTACGTCATGGGTGGGGAGGGAGTGTATGAGTTTCTGGCATATCCGACACTACGGCCGCGGCCGCGGGTACCATCCTTTTATGCGCTTTCTGGCTTACGAAATTCGGCTAAATCACATAAAGGGGGGTCGTCGTACATTAGTTGGGGCTGGGTCTGGCTCCATTGCTGTGGACGATGCTTTGCCGAGCAGAAGCGATCAGACGGATCATGACGTGAAACCGCAGAGACGGGGAGTGGCTATGATAGCACTTCCTTGACCGTCACACCGAAAACGAGAATCGCGAAGATTACTCCGAATCCTACGGCCAGCTTTCCTCCCACATCTCCCATCGGCATGAAGTACCTCAGCATGCTGACTGACATGGCGAACGCTAAAAGGAAAGGGAAGGTGACGGTGATAAGGCTGAGGACGGCGATGGTGACGACGATGAAGACGAGATGAAGATGAAGATAAAGATGAAAGATATGGGCCGAGACGGAAAAAAACGACACGGAGATGACGAAGAAGATGAAGATGCTGGCCATGGTGCAGATGATGCGGACGACGATAGTGACCATGAGCGTAACGATGGTCATAAGGGGGGTGGTAAGTACAAGTATCATACGAGACTACTACCACCGTGGGCCATGACTACGACCTCTACATCACCACCATCACCAACACTGTCGCCGCACCACCAGCACTACCACCACCGCTACAAACACTATCATTACCATTACCGCTAGCACCGCGGCTATGACCACGAAAACCACCACCACAACTGCTGCTGCTGCTGCTTCTACTGCTAATGCTGCATGCAGTAAACTCAGTAGACATCCGTGCCGCAATCCAAAATGACAGCGAGCAGGGGCAAAACGTTCGGGGCGGGCAGCGGAGCCAATGCAAGCGGGGCACTCGGCAGAATAGATCGTGCCAAAGCCCAGGTAAAGGAGAACGACAACAACCGGCACGAAGAATGTCATGGGATCCCCCTGCGCAGCAGCGATCTCGAACACCATAGCTCAAGCAAACTTGGCAATCCCTGACAGGTTCACGCCTCCACCTCCTCCTCCCCATCCTCGCTTTTCGCGGCATCTGGCTCCTGGGGAATCAGACTCAAACTCATGACCGTGAAAGCTTACCTTCATGGCACGGTTGCTACGGAGACATCATGAACGAGCGTAAACTGCACGTGCACAAAACAGTTCAGTGTAATGTTGATAAGATGAATCCTGCATTACCTTAAGGATTCTAAACTATGGAAACTATGGTATATTCCTTCTTGTGGGCAAGATTTATATCATCAGCCGTATCACCATACTGACAAGGACGTGGAATAAGAACATAACAGGAACAGGAGCAGCAGGCAGCGACAGCAGCAGCAATAAGAGCCCTTTCTTCAAACAGAAAGTCACAGCAACAGGAGCATTACTGACAACAGGCCGATTACATTTGCCATGACTATGGCGATAACGGTTTCAATAGCGGCTAGACCATGGTTGGTTTGACGAAGACGATGGCAACAGCAAAACAACTCTGACAATGATCTCAGCAACCACTACGGCTACGACTACGGCTGCTGCTTCGGCTGCGGCTAGGGCGTCGTCTACAACGACGATTACGACGACTACTACTACTGCTGCTGGTGCTACTGCTAATGCTGCTGCTGCTACTACTACTACTACTACTCCTCCTCCTACTCCTGCTGCTGCTGCCGCTGCTGCTGCTGCTGCTGGTACTACTACTCCTGCTCCTACTACTACTACTACTACTACTACTACTACTACTACTACTACTACCTGCTACCACTACTACTACTCCTCCTACTCCTACTCCTACTGCTCCTACTCCGACTCCTACTCCTACTCCTACTCCTCCTCCTTCTCCTACTCCTACTCCTATTCCTATTCCTCCTCTTCCGATGATGCTACTTCTACAGCTGCTGCTCACCACAACTACCGCTCACTACTACAAGGACCATCACCACAGCGCCAATCGCTCCGGAGATATCTTCCCTTCTCTTGGAGCTGCTCGCTGCGGCTCCAAGGCATACCTCTTCAGAGCCTGATGATCCATGTTGAAGGGTTTAGGGTTTGGCGTCGAATCGGAGTCCATGACACAGTTCAGGGTTTGCAAGTACGGCAAGCCCGGGCGCAGAAACCTCAGCCCCGAATACTCCTAAACTCGGCCAGTGGGATTGCGAGCCTCACCCCTGCAAGTGACCGTGAGTGTTACAAGCAGTAGCGTTAGAGCTGCCATTATAGCATGTAACCAGGTTCTTGATGATTGCTGTCGACTACCCCTAAATATGCCATGACCCACGTACTGACATTCATCATGGCTAGAGATTGCTGGGTCCTTCTAACTGCTGTGAAGTCTGGCGCTATTGCGATACTTCTACATATCTTGGTCGTCGTGCGGTGTGAGGGATATGTCGAAGACGACCACATGCCGACACTGGATAGTGGGGACAATGCCATTGTGATTACGAAGATGACTGTGAATACACTCGAGACTGCATTTGCTACAGCAATGCGACTTCGTCATTGCCATGACTGCACATGATTCTTCCACGGTCTCCGGCCCTTGCTCTTTCAACTCTCGTCGTGCCTCTTGATATCATCCGGTAATGATGGCCAGTGTCTGCGCAACTGTAACTCTCATCGCCGTTGTCATTCTACTTATGTAGGTTCGACCTCCGTCGCATCTATCTTACCCAGTGCCGGGTTCCGAACTTGCCGTGAAGGTGAGTCGGTGCTTGGCCATGCGGTGAAGCTCACAGTCTCAGCGACCTCAGATGCAGGTGGACCGAGGTTTCGGCTCGGAAACATGTGCTGATAACAGTACTTGTTGCGTACTTTACTAAGTCCCCCGACCCTCCAAGTATGAGAGTTCTGTGATATAGAGGACTCAAAAATAGAACCGGGATTTTGGGTGTTCATAAACTGTATTTCAAATAAAATAAGGAACCTATATCCGGCTTGTATGTTAAGCATGTCTCCAACACCCAAATCGGACTCCGAAGCAGGAAAACCATGTTGGGAGTTTCAGAAAGCAGCGGACCTTTATCTAGAGCCCTAAAATCAAAGCTGCAGAGGCCAAATTACAAGAGATTCTACAAGGGGACCTGAAATCCAAGACATGGTCCCGGGATTTTCCAATACGGCATTCCCTCCAACTCTCATAAAAAGAGGGTTTGGAAAAGAAGGCCCGAACCCAGTCCGCGCCGAGGGCGACCGCAGCGGCAAAAAAAAGGCAAGCAAAACGCCTGCCTGGACAAGGAATCTGGGGTTCAGGCTTAATCCACGGGCGCTGTCATGACCGGTAAAATTCGCCCATGATAGTTATCACCACCGCGACTGCTGCTTTCTGCTGGCATCCCTGTTATTGTGATGGTTGTTGATTACCCCTTGCTCAGTATCTATCGTCGTCATCATCAACATCATCAGTATCCTCATCATCATCATCATCATCATCATCATCATCACCATCATCGTCAAAACGACCACCACAACAACGATTACTGATAGCATCCACCATTACTTGTTTATCTCCTTTCTTTGATGGTTCTTATTGCTATGACCATAACAGCTATTCCTGTCACGAGCACTAGTCCTACTACAGTATATTTCGTACGATCAGTGTCATCACCGCTCTCTCAAGACGAATGAAGGCTCATATCTTCTTCCAGGTTCAGTGTGGTGGGCTTTAGTTACGACTCTGCGATTATTGGTAACGCTACTTCTACCAGCCTCACTCAACCTGCTGTTCTTACTGTTATAAGATGTGGATGCCCTCCGTACCAACTAAGCGAAACGCTGTAAATGGTTTTTGAAGATTTCGAACACGTGACTAAACGCCGAGGTCAAACTGCTAGTCTTGCCATGTTTCTAACGTCCAACAATACCATGCAGCGTCTAGTTAGTCTAGTTAGCATACCAGGGTTACCAATATTCAATATTGTCCATATTGCAGGCGGTGTTGCTAGTATCGACGTGCTGCTAGTGCACGGCAGCAGAGTTACTGCTGCTGCGAGTGCTGCTACAAAGACAATCACTTCCTCGATGACGATGGCTGCTGCGGCTGCTGCTGCTGCTGCTGCTGCTGCTGCTGCTGCTGCTGCTGCTGCTGCTGCTGCTGCTGCTGCTGCTGCTGCTGCTGCTGCTGCTGCTGCTGCTGCTACTGCTGCAACTACTACTACTACTACTACTACTACTACTACTACTACTACTGCTACTGCTACTGCTACTGCTACTGCTACTGCTACTGCTACTGTTACTGCTGTTCAATCTTACTATCGCCTGCCGTCTCGACCGTTAAGCTGAGCTTGCCTTGCCTCCAGCCCGCAGGCTATACTGGGGGCTTCGCCGGAACGACATCTTGGCTACTGGCGGCTGTTGTTGGATGCTTTGTTGCGTATGTTGGCATTGCAGGTACCTGGAACCTCGAGTGACTACAGCGTGTCTTGCTTAAACCCCGACGATACGAACATAAATGCGGGAAACCGGTGACGCTGTCTCGCACAGCCGGAAAGTCGACTGATGTAATATACTGCTGCAAGCTGGGTCGCATGTTGTGCTACCTTTCTCAGCCTGAGCAGTGAACACCAGCGGCCTAGCGACCTAGAGATGTGGACTCCGCTGCTTTATATTGTGAGACTACACGTGCTCATGCCCTGCAATTGCTGAACAGCCAAGCGATCGACACTAAGCCAGTGCAAAAGCTTTCATCTTATCCTTTCCCTTTGCCACGGCGCGGCGCTTCCTCGGAGTTGCTTTGAACTCACTGCCCGTGGCCGGTCTGCTCCTTCCTCGCTTCCGCCTCCTCGCCTTGCTGGGCGGCGGCGACAGCGGCGCTGTCGCCTCTTCTGCCTCCTCGCCACTGCTGGGAAGCTCCTCCACAGGCACAGCGAGGGAAATCTCCCAGCGACTTGTCGGTGCCGAAGCCTGCAGTGGCTCGACATAGTGCGACGTCTTCGGATCCCGAAGCACCAGTCGCAGCACGTTGTTCCGCAAAGGAAGCCGCAGCAGCACGGGGAGCGGAGCAGGAACGCCTCCTGGCCCAGCGAGGATCCCCGAGGCCTCCGCCGTCCTCAGGTGAGCAGTGTCTCCTTCGACGTAGCCGTCCGCACCCCCCATCGATCTCATCGATCTCTTCCGGGACCTGGAGCTTGCGAGGCTTGCGACCTCGAAGCCGAGGATGACGTCCAGCTGAGGCCTCTGAGTACACCTGGGCCGCTGGAAGTCCAGGCCCGGCCGGAAACAGCGGATCTGCAGAGAGGGAGCGGAGCTTCGCGTCACTCCGGTGAGGGCCTCTAAAAACTGCAGGAAGCTCTCGGAAGCCATGTAGCTACCCACTTCAGCCAGGACTCTGCCCAGGGGACATGCAGAAGCACTTTCGCTCAGCACCAGGCAGCGCTGTACCCGCACGGGCCCCGCCTCCTGCCACGCCTCCAGCCGGGCATCGCCGATGGCAGCCGCGACCTGTGTGGCCAGCCTCTCGTTTAGGAAGCCTGGGAGTTTGATGTGGCTCGTCTCCTCGAACTGCGCCCTCAAATCGGTCTGCGATTGCGTGTCCAGAAACTTCTCGCAGATCCATTGGTTCAGAGCCCGGTACTTCTGGTGGCGGCAGCCTCCGTTTATTGGACTCGGCACGATCAGGTCGTTCGCAAGGAAGGGGCTCGCCGCCTCTTCCGCTGCGTGTGATGCCAAGAGCCCGTGGACCGCAAGCTGTGGTGCATCTTCGGTGAGAACGCGGGTGATGGCGGCACCGGTCCCAGCTGTATAAAGGAGCAGGGACGGTTCCGGTACGAGTCTGGCAGCCGGTTTCCCACTCTCGGCGTAGAGCTCAAATAGCCCACCATCTCCCGCCTTCCACCAGTCCTCCGGAAGAAACAGGACAAAGGCGACCTCACCCCTAGCATGCTCGCCGGCAAAGCACTGCGGAAGCACGTGCCCCTCAGGCGGAATGGCCACCAGCGCACATCTCTGCGAAGTCAAAGCGTTACAGCCCGTGATGCTTTGCACCAAGCTCCGGAACTGCTGTGCCCGAACAGTCTCTACTAACCGGTGCAGCACCGGAGATGGGCCAGCCTCCTCGAGTGGTAGGACGAGGGCCTGCGTGTGTGACGTCTCGATGGGCTGCAAGCCTTTGAGATCAGCGACCAGCTCGTCACGGAAACTGCAAAGCTCCTTCGGATTGAAAGGACTCAGCTGAACCCAGTGCCGTGTGCTCCACTGCTTCCTCAGTGCCTTCACCTTCAGCTGTGAGTCGATCGCCAGAGGCGACACATCCAAACCTTCTCCTTGACCCTCGTCACTTGGCTTGGTTGGGATGTTTTGCGGTTCCTGTCTCTCCAACGCCTCCGTCGCCTTCGTCGCTTCGGCAGCGCTCCGCAGCCGGCGGGCCAGGGAATGGACCGCCCGGGCTGCAGCCATCATCTCCTGCAGCCTCCGCAGCCCGTCAGGTCGGCCCGCCTTCGTGGCCACCGAGAACACCTCAGCTAGGGTTTAGGGTTTAGGGTTTAGGGTTTAGGGTTTAGGGTTTAGGGTTTTAGGTTTAGGGTCTAAGGTCAAGGTTTCCACGATTTTAATGGAACAGCAGGGGCAGGCCACGCCAAAACCGAGGTGCGATGTAGCTTTTGAAGGCCACGGCCTTCTCCCCAGCCATCCGTGGTTGAATGACCCCCTCTTGGGACTCTCGGAAATGGCTCTGGCCCACGGCTTCGGCAACCTGCTGAGCAAGCTCTTCGGCCTCGGCGCGTCGCATGGCACACGCTTTCCCTCACCCAAACCGGGGAGGAATGGAAAAAAATGCTGCGGCGCTCCTCGGCAGTAAAAGCCACCAGGGCTTCCTCTTCGTGGGCGCCCTCGTGGATCGAGTTGCAGGAGGACAGAGTCCGCACACCGGGAAGGACGTTCAGAGCCAGCATCAGGCTGCCGACGCAGGCATCCACGTCCAGACCACAGGCTTTGGTGTACCTGAAACATTGGGGCCCATACCCCAAAAACGGATCCACCTCGCCCTACAGAAAGGCTCAAGTTGCTCAAGGCGGCAACCCCTGACTCGACTCGCCACTACCAGTGAGCTTCTTGCACTTGAAGCTCTTTCTTGCACCGAGGAAAACATGCAAACGACAACCTGGCTGCTTCTTCTGCCACTGCTCACCGAGAGGACGAAGCTCGGCACAGGCCGCGAGCGCACGCTCCTGGGCATAAGCAACCTTACTAAAGCTCAAAACACGAACCTTTCCGGAAATACGGATACGCAAGATATCCGTAGTCTGCAGCCTATGTACCTACATGCAGACCGACCTACCCACCTGCCTGACCATCTGTGTGTCTATCTCTTTGTTGCATTACGTTACATAGCGTTAGATTGCACTGACTGAGTTGCCTAAGGCCTAACATAGCTTAGCATGATATATATATATATATATATATATGACGTAACATGTCATCACATACATCAGGTCTACGCTACAGTATGTGTATAGATAGGTAGATAAATGGATGGATAGATAGATACATGGGTAGGGAGGTAGGGAGGGAGGGAGGGAGGGAGGGAGGTAGGTAGGTAGGTAAGGCAGGTAGGTAGGGGGCAAGTAGGCAGGCAGGCAGGGAGGTAGGTAGGTAGGCAGACGGATAGACAGATAGATGGATGGATGGTTGGATGGATGGAAATGTTTCATGTGGAATGTAGATACATACAAAGAGTAAACACATGAAAGGAACAAACAAGCGGATAGACAAATAATTAGCATCACGTCCTCGAGCTGGCAAGCCTGGCGAAATCTCCGGCAGTAAGCCTTCCAACCGTACCTGTCAGAGCACCAAAACACAATGTTTACCACACTGCTTCCACCTCCCGAAGGTTCCACAACACGCACCTGCCCCGATATGCCCCCAAAAACACACGCAACAGGTTCAGAGTCTTGGATTTCAGGTTTGCGGTCCGAAACCTCAACTACCACCTCCCCCCACCCCCTCCCTGCCTGGCTGGGTGCCTGTAGACCTCGTTCCAGGCCTGCGCCGTGCCATCCGCAGCGGCGAGCGCCAGTTCCATGCCGACAAGCGGTGGTCGGAATGGGAACCAGGGGCAACGGATTGAGAGATTGGGGTTTAGGGTTTAGGGTTTAGGGTTTAGGGTTTAGGGTTTAGGGTTTAGGGTTTAGGGTTTAGGACTCTTAGAGTTTCGGGCTTGCGGCTTGGGTTTGAGACATCGACTTCGAGGTCTGGGATGGCTTCCGAAGCCCTTTCAAAAACCACCCGGTTCGGCTTTGGCCTGGAGTTACAGTTCAAGAATTCAAGCTCTCGCCCTGGGTTTGGCTTTCGGGACTCTCTGATGAAGAAATCTTGTAGGCTGCTCAGGTATGCTCAGGTGGAGCCATTTAGGGGATGCGCTCCTGTAAGCTATGCAGAAAGACCTTCCGCCCGAATCGCGCATGTGCACTCTCACCTTGCCCACAGCTCCAACCATTCCGATGCCTATAATACCCATATACCATTCTTGGAACAACCTTGCGGTGGCCTGAACAGGAAGCCTTATGCTGCTCTAACACATGAGACGGTGCTCTAACACATTTGAACATCCGGCCTTAATGAACGTGCCTTCTCTAATACTAGACAACCGTGCACCGTCTCAACAGCCTGTAAGAGTCTGGTCTGGATGCTAAAACGGTACCATGAAAGCTTCTGGGGCTTCGGGTTCAGGCTTTACTGTAGGATTCCAGGGTCTAGGAGTCAGGGTTTTGATGGGTTTTGGGTGAGGCGATCTTAGGGTGATGTGTGGTGAAGCCCCAACTACGATTCTCCCCCCAGGCATTTTCGACTCAGCTCAGAGCAACGAGAAGAGCTGCCACAGACCTTGACAACACCACCAGGAACAGGCATCCAGCGCGTGTGAGCATGGGAACGGGAACAACCGACGACCCAAAGGCCCTGAACCTGCACTCCTAAAGCCCCCCCCCCCCAATACACCTTGAATAGAACCAGTACAAAAAAAGCATAGCATCGCAGAACCCTGATGACTCTCAAGAGCGCCAAGAAGCCCAGCGAGCACTTTGCTTGTCGCTTCGCCATGCAGGGCCCTGACGATGGCTGCACCGTCCTGGAAACCCCGAAAAACTCGATCTTGGGGGGTTTTGTCGGGTATATAGTTTTGACCGGATGAAAGTGCGCTCATGTTCAAATTCCTCTTCTAGCGGTAGCATCGTAAGGATCCCTACTAAAATATCAGGACTACTCCTTAACTAAAGGGTTGTGGAGTCTCTGGAGTGGTACAGGAGCTAAAGTTAACGGTGTAGAATGAAGCGGGGATTAAGCTTTGGGAGCTACTCGACCCGAAACCCTAAATCCTAAACTCCAACCCCAAACCTTGCTTGGGGTCCACCGGGGTTTAGGCTTTTCGGCGGCAAGAGGGTCCCGGATTCTGCCTCCAGGGTTAGTGCAAGAAGCGATCATGGGCCACCTCTAGTTGTGGGGTTTGGGGTGCGGAAGGTGCAGAGGTGATGGGCATGCTCACCGGCATGGGTGGGCGTAGTGACCAAGTATAAGGTCTTTCAAAGCAAATGAGTCCAAGTTTACGAGACACTGCGTCTGTGGTGCTGGACAAGGCAGGGATCCATTCCTCCCGAAAAGTAGTGAAGACGCCAAACCCTGCACTTCCGAAACCCTGAGACCCTGAAGTTCCTGAAACCCTGGAATCCCAAAGACCCTCCAGCTCGAGAAACCCTTCTGAGCAGCCCCTAAAGTAAAGAGGATAGTAACCCTTTAGCCCCTTAGCCCGGAACCCGAAACCCTAAATCGACAGCGTCCGTCGACGGTGGGGCCATGGACGCAGGCGGAGGCGGAGCCATCGAAGCTGGCTCTTTCGCTGCTGGAGACATCGAGGCAAGGTCACCCCTGGACGGAGCCTTGGTTGCCGCATCCATTGGAAGTGCTTTCCGGGGCTTAGGAAAGGCTCATAAATCCCCAAATCTCAGGCGTTCAGCCTTATAGCAGGTGATATATGATCTTAACAATTTACCGTCTGTACGAAGTCCGATACTGAGGAGCCATCGAGGTGGTTTCCGGCGAAGATGCCGAAGCTTTATGAGAAGACCGCACCTGGGACAAGAAGCCTAAAGCCTAGAGTTGCGGTTCGTTCGGGGAGTTCTTAGTTCAAGGAGTTTGGGTCGTCCTCAAGCCCTGCTAGTTAGGGTTTAGGGTTCAGGGGTTCGGTGGGCTTTGTGGACTTGACGGGGCCTGGTTCTTGCATTAGATTTTTGTTTATGCGAGGTAGGATCTAGAAGGTGTGTTCGCCGGATGTGGTCTTGTAGACTTCCGTGCCTACTCAAGCATCGTGCCGTGCAAGAATCCAACAGAACAAGGCAATGGAGTACCATGCAATGCTGCCACGGTTACACTAAGTACAGACGGGCTGTGTAGATCCGGCAGCCCTGTTCCGACAAAACCAGAACATCCCCGAGACGCAGCTGAGGGAGCACAGGTTTTGGGTGGAAGGCTGCAACGTTTGCCGCTTCGGAGATAGGGAAGTGAAGTTGAGGGCTTGAACCTTCACGCGAGGCTTCGCATCCAAGCATCCTAAACCCAAAGCTTTCGGCCGTACACCTTAAGCTGCAGACACTAAACCCTAAATCGCGAACTTTAAACCCTTTTTGCTACTGATTGCAAGAGTTAGGTACGGTGGCAAATATTAAACCTTAAACTCCAAAACTGCAAACCCTAAACTGTAAACCCTAGACCCTGAACCGTAAACTGTAACCCCAAGCCCTTATTAAACTGCAGACCCTAAACATCCCTGAACCCCGAACCTTAAGCCCTAAACTGTAATTTCTTTACACTATTACTATTATTATTTGTACTAGTATTATCACTATCATTATCATCATTACTATTATGTCCATCCCTGGCACCAGCCGCGAGTCCGAAGATGCCACGGGCGGGTGGGCAGGCGCGATGCGAGCGTGCACGTTGACGTCACAGATCGGCTGCCAAGCCTGGTTTAGGGTTTAGGGTTTAGGGTTTGGGGTTCAGGGTTCAGGACTTGCAGTTTGGCATTCGGGGTTTCGGGATTGTGGGGGTTTTCCAGACGTCGGGAATAACCCTTTAGTTAGACTTTTTTCTCTGGGATCCGGATGCATACATCCAAGGCATGGTCGGCGCCGCGCTTGGCCAATGAAGGCTTAGGCTGAGGGCTTGGGCATTCAGGTGCATAGCCTGCTGCCCCCATTGCCCGACATGCCCCTGAGACCTACGGTCAAAAGCCCCTAGACACCGTGGCTGATTCGATGTCCTATCTTCAAAGCCACCAAGCAGCTTCCACATCGTATATAAGCATCAGTATTGCTCTAGCAAAAAAACAGCATACCGCCATCAGCAAGGCAATTCAAACACATCTTGATAAACTACATCGCTTGATTCCTACTCTTTCTCTGCTTGGCGTCTAACCCAAACCCCAGAAGACGGTGACAACAACTACACTCCGATGCTGATGACTAAACTTATTGCAAGGTGTATGATCACAAGCACAAAATGACAAGACTAAAACCTACAAACGCTGCTGACAACTATTATTATAGCAACCCTGATTTCGGCAAACCTCATCACGAGGACTATGGCTATAACAGCAGCCCTACACCCTAAACCCAAGAAAGTGTAACAACCAGAGGCACTGACTGCGGCAACAACCGCAACCCCACGGCTCTCACCTAAACCCAAATCCCTGAACATGAAACCTAAGCCCTGAACCCTGAACAGTAAACATCCGTGACGATCTCATCAGAATTATTCCTAATGTTATTCTTTTTATTACTATCACTATTATTATTGCAGTTCTCATTATTCTTATTCCTAATATAATGATAATAACTGTCATTATTGGCGGGCCTCGCAGAGGGTCTTGTTGTTTCCAGCGCAGCCTGAACCCACGGGCTGGCACCTGTGGCGACGCGGGGGAGGAGGGGTTATGGGTTGGGGGTTGGGGTTGGGGTTTCGGGTTTCGGGTTTAGGGCCAGTTTAGGGTTTAGGGTTTAGGGAGCTACTCAAAATTGAGTGTACCTTACTTCGGGGGCTCTTACTGTCTTTGAGTGGCGGCTAGGTTTTGGGGGGTTCTGGGGTTCAGGTGGGTGCCTGCTGCAAAAAACAAACAAAGCGATAGTCAGAATGGATAACTAGAAAGTCAATAACAATCATCACCATAATGGAGTCGTACCCGAACCAAGTAACAGTGGTGAAATGCGGGGCTTGCGAAAAGCTAGGATGACAGCGCCCTGGGCCCTAAAACCCTACACCCTCAACCCTACACCCTCAACCCTACACCCTCAATCCTACACTCTAAGCCCCGCACCCTCAACCCTATTCTAAACCCTACACACGATAGCCGGAGATGGCGCATTCGGCGGCTGCCCTCGTGGTCCGTCTCGTAAAAGACCTCGCTGTGACATTCCTGGGAAGGCGGAGCAGTGGATATCCCTCTAAGGATCCTTCAAGAGTTCATTTGAGGGATCCTTTAAGGGCTCCTGTAAGGGATCCTTTTAGGGATCCTTTAAGCGTTCCTGCGAGGGATGCTTCAAAGGTCCATTCAAGGGTTCCTTGAAGGGAACCCTTTCAGGGTTCCTTCAAGAGTACCCTTTAGGGGTTTAGGTTGCTCAGGATGCCATGTCCCTGAAGAAGATGCTGCGCAGCACTTTTCTGCAGGATTCCGTTCAGGAAGTCCTCACAAAAAGGGGAACCCTAAACCAAAAACCCTTTGAGATCTGACAGAACTTCGGAGACGTGGCTCGCTTCGCGTCTCGGGGCTCTAGGACTCTAGGGTTTAAAGGGTTCAGGCTCAGGGCTTAGGGCTTGGAGTTTAGAGCTTAGGGTTACCAGGGTGCATCCCCAAATCGGGGCCTTATATATTCGTTTTGGGCTCTATTATACCACAATAATAAAAAGGAACCCCAAGATAGTAATGGTAAATATTTAGGCTCCTAAATTTGGCTCTCTGCTACGAGCGCTGATCAGCTCTCATGAGCCCTTGATGCAACACATCTCGAGCCTTATCTCTATGAAAGATCCTCCTGCAGAGTTCTCAAAACAAGCAGACAAGAGCTCCGTCAAGAGTTTCTGGTCCATTGTCAAGGGCCCTTAACATCTTAACTTTAAGTTCAATGGGCCCAGAAGGGGGACCTCGCTCAGCATATCTCAGCACAGCGCTCGAACCTGAAAACATGGGAAGCAATGCGCCACAGGAATCACCTACGGCGTAGAAGCATGGGAGGGATTAGGATTTGGGGGCTTGGGGTGATGGGTGGAGTTTAGACGTTCTGGTTTCGGGCACATAGATCCTTGGAATGGGATTCGGGGGCACACAAAAACCCCTAAGGAAAGGGTCGACGGCTTGACCATCCGAGCGTCTGCATGGCTAAGTTCGTGGCACGACTGGTTTCGGCTCCTGCGGCAGGGAAGGGAGGGGCCACTCGCCGTGTCCCGGGTAGAGTGGGTGGAGATGAAGGTTCAAGAGGGGCTGCAAGACGCCAGTCACTAGACTACTAGACACGATCATGATATACCATGATAAAATACCCTAACATACTATACCATAATCTACCATAGTGTACTGCAGCAAAAAAGCATGTAAAAACCCTAACCCTTAACGTAGTCGTCCTGGTGTTGATCTTGTCGCAGTACAGGAAGCAGCCCGAGACTGGAGATGGAGCTGGCGTGTCACTGTCATAGTGGAGCTTGACAACCGCCTCGCTGTGATGCGATACCTGACAGAGGGGCCACCATTCGTCGCACACCTCAGATCTATCGACTTCGCAGTGGTCTGCCTGTCGTCTGCAGACACATCGCTTTCCGTCACCGTCGGTCTCGAAGAACTGCCCCGAAGCACAAGATGTCAGGGAGAGGGCGGCGCAAGATGAATTCACGCTCCGCACGTCCGTCTTCTGACAGAGCGTGAAGCAGAACGGCGGCGGGGAGTCCTCACTACCTGTGCCTGCGTGAGTTCCGGTCGGCTGACCCGTGGAAGTGGGTCTCGAAATGCTGCTCGGACCTGCCGAGTGTGGCTTGGGCAAGGTGTGCGTCGACATCGTGGTTGTTGTTGCGAGGGTACTCGTCACTGTGGAGCCTTGGCTCGGGGAAAGAGCCGCGGCCTGGAGGATGGGCACCTTCTGACCATGGAAGGTCTCGACGCAAAGTGGCTGCCATGCCGGGCAGAAGTTCGCCGAGTCCATTTCGCAGCCTCCTTTCCGAGGCACACAGGGCCTGCGAAGCCCAGCATCGGTTTCGAAGAACTGCGAAGTGGCGCAGTGGCTCAGGCTCAAGCCTCGGCATGAGCCTGAGCCGGTAACCGCTACATTCGTCTTGTAGCACAGGGATCTGCAGAGGGACAGCGAGCTGTTGCTGACGGCATCGAGCGGGCTGTCTCTGGCACTGGTACTGCTGGGACAGCTGGACAGCGATGCTTCACAGCTCTCTTGAAGCGATCGCTCGCAAACTCCAGGGCTTCGGAAAGAGCACATCTTGCGTGTGCCGTTTGCATCGGTCTCGTAGAACTGCCCGCTGTCACACTCCGGCTGTGACAGGCTGGAGCAAGACGAGTCGAAGCTCTTCACGTCCGTCTTGAAGCAGAGTGCTTCGCACGCAGATAGCGCTGGCAAGTGGGGGCCTCAGCGACATTCATCATCTTTGCAATCGGAAGTCGGAGTACACCCCTTCAGCTCTCTGAACTCACAAACCTGACACTAAACCCTGAATCCCGAACTCCAGAAACCAAAAGACGCGCCTGAACTATTGCAGGGCAGCTCGGAGATGCATGCAGTCGTCCAGTCCTGGCGTTTGGTCCGCTACAGTCCGACAGCCTCCTCCAGTCTCCGTTTCGGGTTTTCGTTGGGGATTTTCCACCTCCAATCTATCTCAAAACCTTCATTCTCGACCGCAACCGCACCACGACACGAGTCCGCCACGAATTGCTAGGGCTAGGGGGCTTGAAACCCGAACCCTCCCATACCTAAATGCCTAAGTCCCCTCAGCCATCGCTGCAAAAGGCCCCTGTCAACAAACCACAGGTTAGGGGGCTTCTCCCGGTCCTTACAATAAGATCCTACGATGCAGGCTTCTTTGTACCCTAAACCCTAAACCAAAAACCCTAAACCCTAAACCCTAAACGGAACCCTCAAACAAAAAACGAAACTCCCGCATCCCCCAACCTCGTCCCGGTCCTCGGAACACCCCCACCTCGGCTGCCACAGGCAGAGCCTCCTCTCCCCGTAGAGGCCCCGAGCCTGGCAAAAAGAGGCTCTTCAACGTTTTAGGACCCATTACTGTAGGAGCCTTAATAATTGGAGTGCTTTAGGATTTAGGTTTCAGGGTGTTGGGTTCGAGGCTTCACCCAGTGAAACCTTGAAGCCCAAACTCAAACAGGTAGGATTTCGGGCTAGGCGGTCGCACAGCCCAGGAGCTTCGAAAGCGTAAGGGATAACTACGAGGTGCAAGGGCACAGCGCACCAAAAAAAACCGGAAACCCCAAAAACCCCCCAAGTTCGAGAGTCTTCCTGCGTGTGGACCCTAAACCCTCAACCGTGAAGAGATTCTTCGGACTTTCGGGCATGGAGCATGAGGCTTCACGGCTTCAGGTCTTGAAGCTTTGGTGCTTTCGATTCTTGGCTCAAGAGCTTCGTGGTAGTTGTGGGGGGCCTAGATAATTTCCAGTACTGTTTTTTGGGGTGGTTTAGGGTTAAAGGTTCAGGGTTTAGGGTTCAGGGTGTTGGGTTTAGGGTTTAGGAAAGAATTACCAATACCAGTTTGAAGGGGGGGCTCCTTTGTATATCTACAGTACAAACATACCCGAAAACGCTACTCCAATCATAGAGGCCCCAGATTCATCATCCTTCAATCCCACAGCCTGAAACTGACGCTACAGCCAAGAACGCACGAAGCCTATCAACCAGAAGCTATCTTTGAGCAAAGATCCAATATGCTTGCTATTCAAAGCCCAACCTTCAGAAACTCCAACTCCGCCGAGAGTCGTAGTACTGCATGGACCGGCAGTCTTTCTCTGACAAGTCCTTGCACCTTGCCAGCCCATTCTTCTCGACGTCGGACTTCTTGCATAGCGCTTGGCAGAACGGAGAGCGGCTGCGTCCTGGTGCCGGGCTTTTGGTGGAGAGAAACCCTGCAGACTGCAGCGTCCGAAATGATCGCACCACTCTACAGAGGCCCTCGAACCACCTCTAGAAGCTAGAACAGGACGGCACCTGGGTAAGGGCAAGGCGCCCTAGCTTATGTTTGGTTTACCAGGACACGATTTCTCCCAAGCTTCGCCAGCATACGACAGTAACACGACAGGTCCCTGCAGCTGCAGACCGAATCAGGGGCACGACATTGACATGAGAACCATTAGCGTGACAATGAAAAGCAGCCGATTCCACCCGGCGGGATCTCTTGCCCCTGAACCCTGAACCGCAAGCCCCCCAACTCTGCAGGCTACCCCAACTTCTGGGTAGTTCTCTGAATTAGGGTCGTTTTTTAAGTCTCCAACATAGTGCGGCACCCCTATAAAGAGGACCCTAAAAGGGACCCTAATTTAGAGAACTACCCATCTAGTTCCCTGGCCCCTCCCATCACAACAGTTTCATCTCAAGTTTCCACTTGCGAAATATGCAAGACGAGGAATCATTTGCACGGACAGACTTACATTTTGACACCATTTCTCGGCGTTGTCTTGTGAGACGTCGAACCTGGTAAGCTGAAGCAGAATCGTCTGCATCTGCCCCTTTGCTGCCCAGCTCGCAACAGCACCACCCCTCGGACCATGCAGATGATTAGCACCGCGAAGGACTTCTGATGGACACAGCTGTCGAGTATGCTTGCTGTCACCACCCCAAACGGCAACAGAAAGTGACCATAGAGTCATCAGTTTCTTGAACCGGTGGCCCTTGTATCTGTGGAAACCTCTTGCTGTCCTCCATGTCCGGATATCCCCAGAACACAAGCTGGCCATCCTGTCGGACTGCTACGAAAGCGAGTTTCGTGGCGTGGATCTCCTGCACACTCTGCAGCTGCTCTTGAACATGCCTGCTATCGCCACCATATCCTGGCTTGCCCCAGCTTACCACGGTACCATCCTTTCGCAGTGCTGCAAAGGCTTGAGAAGTGGAGTGAACCGCATTGACGTCGCGAAGTTGCTCTTGGACAGAGGCTATGTCGCCACCACAACGTTGATCGCCCCAGCTTGCCACCGTGCCATCTTTACGGATCGCTGCAAACGCATAACTTGCAGAGCGAATCTCTTGCACTTCTTGGAGCTCCGATTGGACACCTTTGCTGTCAACAGAGTCGCCCCAGCTCACTACAGCACCATCCTTTCGAGTTGCTGCAAAAGCTCCTTTGTTGGAATAGATCTGCTTTACATCTGTAAGCTGCTCTTGGACACTTGTGCTGTCACCACCCCGGAGTTTCCCACCCCAGATGACCACAGCACCGTCCTTCCGGAGTGCCGCGAATGCTACATCAGTGGAATGAATCTGCTGCACGTCGTAAAGCTGCTTCTGGACAGGCGTGCTATCGCCACCAAACGTCTGGTCACCCCAGGTTACTACGGTGCCATCATTTCGGATGGCGGCGAAGGACCACTCAGTGGAGTGAAGTGATCGCACGTCATGAAGCTGATCTTGCACTTGCCTGCTGTCACCACCGCATTCCGGATCGCCCCAGCTAACCACGGTCCCATCCTTCCGGATGGCAGCAAACACTACTCGATTAAAGCAGATCTCTCGCACGTCGCAAAGCTGCTTCTGGACATGGGAGCTCGAGCCACCCCTCCTATGTGCGCCCCAGGCTACCACGCTGCGGTCTTTGCGGATTGCAGCAAATGCCGATCGATTCGAATGCAGCTCTTGCACGTCCCTGAGTTGGTCCCGGACATCCGTGCTGTCACCACCACAATGACGGTCGCCCCAGCTCACGACGACACCATCTTTTCGGAAGGCAGCAAAGGCACCATCAGTGGAGTGGACCTCTTGCACGTCATAAAGCTGATCTTGGACCGAGGTGTTGTCACCGCCAAACGCCTGGTCACCCCAGCTTACTACGGTACCATCCTTCCGCAGTGCTGCAAACGCGCCATCGGTAGCATGAACCGATTGCACATCTTGAAGCCGCTCTTGGAGCCCTCTGCTGTCACCACCCGCATCTGAATTTCCCCAGCAGGCAATCACGCCATCATACTTGAGGAAGGCGCATGCACTTTCAGTCGACACGAGTCTAGGGTGAAGGGATGGCATTGCGGAGCAAGGATCGCACGTCCGCCGCGAAGGCTGGATTGCTAGATTCTGCTAGAGCACACAGGACAACAACAGGCCAACGTCAGCTTCAAATCGCATCTTCTACTTCGCATGCAAGTATGACGTCTAAGGGGGCCATCACGCTCTTTCTAGACATTGCATGTAAATTCCAACTGGATCACCACACGTTACACAGAGTCTTTGGCCCACGAACTTTTCATAGAACTTTTGACCAAACAGGGCATGAGCCGAGGTAGCTCAAGAGCCTATGCAAAAAAAAAGGCGACACTGGTCTCCAAAGCAGCTCAACAAAACCAAAGACAACGGAAGCCCTCAAAGGGACCTTGAAAGGGGACCCTGTTGTAGAACCCTACACTACCCTTGAAGGGAACCTTTAAAGGGGATCCTAATATAGAACCCTATATTACCCTTGAAGGGAGCCCTGACAGCAGCGCTCTGGAGTGCTGAGACCCGCCTCCAGCTTGGAGGAATCCCTGGTGCAGCGAGGCGCTGCCGTCAGCCCCCACGGTGGCGCGGAGGCCACCTAAACAGAGAGAGAGAGAGAGATAGTTCGAGAAACAGAGAGAGATAGCTGGAGAGATAGAGAGGGGGAGAGAAAAAGAGAGAGAGCGAGAGAGAGAGAGAGAGAGAGAGAGACTGAAAGAGATGGAGAGATAGAGCGAGAGGGAGAGGGAGAGAGAGAGCTGGAGAGATAGAGAGATAGACAGATAGAGAGAGAGAGAGATAGTAATGGAAGACGGGTAAATTTAGGCGATGAACCTCTGTCTACAGGCAGTGAGAAACATAAAAGAATTCATGACCTGTGGAAAAGTTGAAAAGCTATACCATATCATGCCAGGACATGCCCTGCATTCCCCTTCTTACATACTTGCTTGCCTACTCGCTTGCACACATATGCATATACAATCATATACACTTATCTGGCACTGACGGCACAGCCTGGCTGGATGCGGAATATAGGGTTTAGGGTTTAGGGGTTTAGGGTTTAGGGCTTAGGGTTTAGGGTTTAGATTGCATATACATAGACACGTACATACTGCACGCATCTCCATAACATGCTGATGCTCAGGCTTTCTTGCGCAGGTGGGCTGCATCCGCGTCTGAACGCAAGTGTGTGCTGCGACGAGACGTGGTTTCCCACTAAACCAGTAGAAAGGCTTTCTGATTGCAGGGCTCGGGGATCCTGCTAGGGCTTAGGGTTTAGGATTTATGTGGGCCTTAGGGTTTCTTTGTATGACCCTCATCCCAGCCAACTCCCGCCCAGGGACCCGTTTCTTTGTGGAAGCGCTGGTGCGCCCTGGCCGTGGTGAGATGCTCTGGATATCAATCTCAAGACGGTTTCCCTACGCGACAAGGCGCCTTGCGAGCCTAAACCCCTAAACACTAAACCCTAAACCCTAGACCCTCGAGAGGCTGTGCGAATCGGAAAAGTCTGAAATTCCTTCCAGCAGCTCGGTCTCAGCTGAGGGCTCTGTCGGGATAGTCTTCAAGCGATATTTCACAGCTAGATTGATATGGTTACCTGTGTGGGCTTTCGGGCGGTTTCGGGCGGGTTTAGGGATGGTTTAGGGCTATTGTGAGCTATATGGTCATGTCTCATGGTCACTGCTGCACGGAACTCAGAAGTAAAGGCCTAAACTGATGATGAAAAGACTGTCAAACGAGCAAGGAACTGCTACCACGCTGTCACCGGCGACCTATGATGGACGCCCAAACCCAAGCCCCGACAGTGGAGTGCAAACAGGTTGCGACTAGGTGGAGTTTCCAGGCCTCGCTGGGGCAACTCTTGAAAAGACTCCTCCCGGCCTGATCTCAGCCGCACATCTTGTGCTCAAGACGGCCACAACCACCAGCCATCTGGAACTGTACAGGCAAATGCGCAGACTACAGGGTTTCTTCATGGCTGCAGCATCGAAGCCAGAAGAGAGACAAGATGACAGTCAACCATAGTCAACCCATGCAGTTGTGTGATACCAAGTACAAAACCGCTCTTAAGTCAACATTGGCAGGCTAAGCTCAATAACTCAACGGAACCGACTCCAGAGTTCACCCTCCGATCTGACTACGGCTTAAGGGTTGTTCTGGCAGCCGTGCTAAGAACTCCTCTGAACACCCATCTTTCGTCGCGGCTCTCTCAAGGCATCTCGAGGTTCACCAGGAAAGAGAGCTGTGCAGCTGTCATGCTTTCTCGCACGCTCTTGCCTTCCGATCGCCAACATCGCAACGCTCCGGAACGAACCCAATCGATTGACATCTCCGTCGCCGGAGCGATTTGACGTAGAACTGGCCACAGCCTCCTCTTGCACGGTTCGCGCAGTTGTGGATCGAGAGCTTCCACAAAATGGAACATGGTCCAGGCGGTTGCCGCGGCCATGGCCAGGGACTGCAACAAAGCACTTAGAATCACATCCTCTCACACAGTGTCAACGACGGCCTTGAACACAAGAGCAGGATCGATGCCCTCCATGCTGTACCTTCAACTGCGAAGATGCTCAAACATTGAAACCCTATACAATTTTATTCGAAAACATAAGGGTAGTTCTCAAAATAGGGTCCCTTTTTAGGTCCTCAATATAGTTAGCACCCTTATAAAAAGGAACCCCAAAAGGGACCCTAGTTTAGAGAACTACCCATAAAGAGATCATACTAGCGCCTCCTAGGTGCCCCTGCTCCCCGACCTCGCAGGTCCACACCTCGGCCCTGCCCAAACCCACGCGCTCCACCAGGTAGTCGATCCGAACCGAAACCGTCGGCTCGGCCGACTGAGCCAGAAGCCAAAGATGCCACAAACGGGACAGACGCCTCATCTGCAACATGGCATCCTCGAAGGCCGCCTTGTCATTTAAGAGCCACTTCAGGGGCTCCTCCTCCACCTGGCCTTGGCCCTGGCTAGCCTCGTTTTTGGCGCTCTTTTCGTAGTCTCGGACATACCCATTGCAGTCAATCCTCGCAAACCTCGTGAACAAGGCTTCCACGACCTCGCCGTTGAGAACGAAGCACCGCGCCTCCAGGTGCACCGTCCGCACGCGCTCCTGGACGTAGACGCAGTCGTTTGTGTAGTTCGGCTGGGTCACCAAGCAATACATGGCCTCGGCCAGGGTTTCTGGCTTCACCATCCTCACATCTGCAGCCTCGTAGCTGTAGCCCAGCTTCACCACCAGCTCGGACTCCCCTTCGCTCCAATCCGAATGCGTGGCCTTCCAGGCCTCCCGCCGGGCTCGCTGCAGCACCCGGAGGGCACTCAAGGCCATCAAGGCGGCCTTCGGAGGGTCCACGAGCACCAAAGCTTTGGAGACCCGGGTAGTCACCGGAATTTGGAACTGCCAAGAGCTGCAAAGTTGTGAGATCCAGTCCTTCGAAGTCAAGAGCTTCCAAAGCTGCACGGGATGCGGCCACCTCGTCGGAATGCCCGAGGCCTCCATGCGACTTACCAAGGCGTAGAAGGGCTCTGCAGTGACGTAAGCCGCTGCTGTGGGCAACTTCTCACCATAGCTTTGGTATCCCTGAATGGGCCATAGGAAGTAAAGGGCACACACCGAACGACCCCGGCAGAGCGACGCGAGGAATTCAGGTGAGATTCCTGCAAACTCATCACTATGCTGAATGAAGACCGTCAAGACTTCGTAGTCACACTGATATTTGGGAATCACGGCGTCTTGAAAAAATTTCTGAATGAAGCGGTTCGACACGGTGGAACCTTCCGATGCGCCCCAAGAGTGGGAGTCATACTGCACCCCGATCTTTGCAGCACCCCACTGGAACACGATAAAGGACACGGCAACTTCGCACCCACCGACTGCCATTTCAGTTCCGCAGCGTGGGTACAGCACGTTGGAATTCCAGTTGCACGTCTTCGGAATCTTCCATGCATCTGCCGAGCGCCTCCGCACCATGTGCGCTCCGACTTCGTGAACCAGCGCATGAGGGTCCGTTGTGACCTCGATGTGGTCGCCGGTGGCCCAGTCATACCACTGGCGTAGCTCCCAGCGGCAGCGGACCTCCTGCTCATCAGCCTCTGATGCCTCCGTGGCCTCCACCACGACGGCGGGCAGCCAGCGCTGGGTCCAGCCAATGCGGGGCCTGTTATTGCCCAAAATCGGAGCCTCAGGCTTTTTGGTGAAAAATCTTTGTGGAAACTTTGCCTTAGAAGGGGTCTCGAATCTGAATAACCAAGAAGAAAGAGGGGGCCTCGGCCCTTGCCTTTCTCGAAGCCCCCTTCAGAAGTAAAACTCAGGCTCCCGCGGAACAGAGGATCCAGCGATCTCCGATCATGTCCACCCGCTCACGCCCGAGGTCTTCAGGAGCTGGCATCTGGTAAAAGGCCTCCACGAGGTCCCCTTTCCGGAAGACATCTTGCGCTGCCATGATATGGGGGCGAGTTTCGGGACAAAGAGCTGAAGAGTCGGGGATAGGGTTTAGCATGTAGGGTTTATGGATAGGCATCTCCTTTGTGACCCAAATCCACAGACGGCAGACGGAACGCAATCAAGCGACTCAAGAAGGAAGACGCAACACACTTTGATTGTGGGCAGATCCCACTTAGTCCTGTACAACTTTACAGCTTGCACCTTCCGGAACCCAAACATCCAGCGTACTGAGCCAGACAACTTTTGATCCTCGCCCCGGCCATCAGCTCTCCCCTCCTCACAGAGCAGCTTAGCACCTGCCAAGTCAAATAAAAAACAAGAAGCCCTGTGTGTGTGTGTATATATATATATATACATGCCTAAATGCATGCATGCATGCATGCATGCATACATACATACATAGATAAATACAAGCTTCTATGTACAAAAATATGTACATAAACATATATGCATGCGTATATATATATATATATATATATATATATATACATGCTTATGTTTATATGTATATACATACAAACATATATATATATATATATGAT